CGCGGTGGCTCCCTCTCCCCAACTGTCTCCATGTGATTGGGCTCCGGGCGGCAACCGTGGCACCTGACCACAGCGCAGTGGTCGTAGAGAACAGGGTCAAATGTAGGAACCAGTGCCCCACGGAGTCACGGATGAGAGAAGATGAATTGGGGAATGCTCAATGTATTACTCAAGGAAACTCAATGTGTACATATAGGCACGGTGGGGAGCCTGGATCGGCAGGCCCATGGGCCGATTGGGGAATGCTCAATGTATTACTCAAGGAAACTCAGTGCGTACATAGAGGCACGGTGGGGAGCCTGGGTCGGCAGGCCCACGGGCCACTTTACACTCTAACACGCCCCCGCAGTCGGAACTGGGAGCACAACGAATATTTAGACTGGACCTAAACTCCGTGAAGATGGATGTCGCCAGACCTTTGGTGAAGATGTCGGCGTACTGGGACGAAGTAGGAAGGTGCAGTACACAAACTTCACCCAGGGTGACTTGTTCTCGGACGAAGTGCAAGTCAATCTCGACATGCTTGGTACATTGGTGTTGGACTGGGTTGGTAGAGAGGTAGACAGCACTGATATTATCACAATAGACCAATATGGCGCGGCAAAGAGGACAACCAAGCTCCTGTAGAAGATGGCGCAACTAGCAAGCTTCAGTGACTCCATTCACAACAACGCGATATTCAGCCTCTGCACTGAACCGCGACACTGTAGGCTGACGCTTTGATGACCAAGAGATGAGGTTGTCCCCCATAAACACCACATAACCCGACGTGGATTTGCGAGTGTCAGGATAGCCTACCCAATCAGCATCCATGTAGACATTGAGATCAGCCGGTGAGGTCCGGTGGAGGTGAAGACTGAGCTCTAGAGTGCCCTAGAGATACCGCAGGATGCGGTTCATAGCACCGAGCTGAGGCTCCCGAGGGTCATGCATGAAAACACAGACCTGCTGAATGGCATATGCAATATCCGTGCGAGTGAAGGTGAGGTATTGAAGAGCTCTGGCTGTACAACGATAATGGGTGGGGTCCGTCACCGAAGCCTCATCAGCAGAGAGCTTGGAGTGAGTATCCACAAGGGTGCTACATGGCTTGCAGTCATGCATACCAGCACGGGCCAGAATATCCATCATATACTGTCACTGGGAGAGGAACAAACTATCATCTCGGCGCTCAACAGTCACACCCAAGAAATGATGAAGGGGCCCCATGTCTGTCATAGAGAATTCCTGGCGAAGAGCTGAAATAATGTGCTAGAGAAAACTCGTAGACGAAGCCGTGAGAACAATGTCATTAACATATAACAGCAACAAAGCCATATGAGTGCCTCAGATGGTCGAGGTACCAAGGTCCAGGTGTTATTAGCCTACAGCGCATCAAACTCGGCCTGCATGGCGACGTGCCAGGCTGGATCGGAGAGGGCGGTGCGAACAGATGTCGGCACTGTGGAGAGGACCGTCGTGTTGAGGTTGAGGCGGTCCATGGGCTGGCGGAAACTAGCTTTGGCACATGAGCGCATGTCATGCGCATTTGTCACCGAGACAATGGCTTGCGACGTCGTGGAGGAAGTCCGACTAGTAGCGCGCCAGATGCCGCTGGCAATAGCCTCGGACGAGGAGTCCACAGGGGCAGCGACACTAGGCACGGCAAGTGGCGCCAGTGGCGAGCCAATGAGCAACGGCGGTGATGAGGACGGCCCTGCGTCAGAGGAGGGTGAGCCAGTGCCTAGCCCAGCCAGGGTGGCGTGCAGCCATGCTGAGGCAGCAGATCGCCTAGCGCATGGCCCAGCCATAGGCCCAGCCGAGGGGGCATGCAGTCATGCTGAGGCAGCGGGTGCATGCATAGCACCAGGGGCGGCATCCATACCGCCAGGAAGACGAGTACCTGCATGCACAGCACTTGGCCCAACGGTCGAAGAGGAACAATCATCATCGCTCAAAAAATCCAGTGTGGTGGGATCCAAAGGGGAGGTGGACATCTCAGAAAAGGGGAAGAGCGCCACACCGAACATAACATGTCATGAGATGGTGATCCGATTGGAATGAAGATCGAGACACCGGTACCCTTTGTGATCGGTGGAATAGCCAAGGAAAACACAGGGAGGAGCGAGGTGAGAGTTTATGTGGAGTTGTGGATGATAGGTTTGGGTAGCAGGCACAACCAAACACTCGAAGATGAGCGTAAGAAGGATAGGTGCCATGAAGGGAAAAGAACGGAGATAGGTGGCAGTGTGAAGAGAGTCAACCCAATAGATCGAAAGAAGACTAGCCTAAAACAGAAGGGAGCGCACAATATTGTTAATTGTGTGAAGAGCGCATTCGACGCGACCATTCTGCTAAGAGGTGTATGGGAACGACATACAGAGGACTACACTGTGGGTCAGGAAGAATGTGCGGGCCGAGGAGTGATCGAACTCATGGCCGTTGTCGCACTAAACTGCCTTGATAGGGAGCCGAACTGTGTGCGCACATATGAGAAAAAATTAAAAAGATCGCCGAAGTGTTAGATTTGTGGCGAAGAGGAAAAGTCCAGGTGTAGTGAGTGCAATCATCAAGAATGATGAGGTAATATTTATAGCCTCACACACTAACAACTGGAGATGTCCAAAGATCACAAGGATGAAGCGCACGAGAGTTTAACATGCTATAAGGAAGATGCACATGGCGGCCTAATTGGAAGGCATGACAAATATGATCATTGTGGTTTTTATTACATAAAATAGCATTGAAACTAATGAGCTTGGGCAGAGCCTCATGACCGATATGACCAAGGCGGTGATGCTAGAGGGTGGTGGTGGATGCAGCAGCGGCAAGAGCATGGGTGCTGGCGGGTGGAAAGAATGGGTAGAGGTGACTTGTGCTATTGCACCTGGCGATCACACTCCGTGTCTGTAGGTCCTTCACACACTACACCATGACACACATTTGCCTACACTTATGTGTTGGCAAAAGGCAGGTTTCGACGACATATTATGTGTTGGCAATTGTATATCGTTTTAATGTCTAATCATCTGTCGACAATAAGACTGTAAGACTACAAATTATCTGTCGGTGTTTCTCTGCTGGCAGAAAAAGTGTCGGCAAAAATTAGAAGACTTAGAAAGTGTTGGCGTAGCCTGTACAGGGGCAACTGTGCAAGTGTCGGCGAAGGAGTACCCATGTGTGGGCCGCCAGCAACAAAATCATGGGCCAAAGCAGGACGCCGAAAACTCTTCCACCCACTCCGGCTCCGCACACCCAAAACTCTTCCCTCCCTACACCCGCCGCCCCTACGACGGCGCTCCCAACGTCGCCGCCGTGGCACCCCAATGCCCCCTTGCCAAAGCTCCGCCACACACTGAGAGCCCGTGACGGGCGCCACCATACGGCGACACCGCTGGGCGCCACAGATGTCCCCGCCCACCGCCGAGCGCCATCGACGAGTGCCGCTGTAGGGCGCCACCGACGCCCCAGCCCGCCGCCGGCGAGCGAGTGCTGTCGCCACTATAGTGGATCTCCTGTGCGGTGTGCATTCAAGTACGTTACATCCCCCATCTCATCCTCCACATCATTCCCTTCCCCTCATCCCCATTCCTCTTCTTGCTAGGGTTTGGGCGTAGGACCACAGCCGCCGCTATACGCCTTCGTCGGGCCCTTCACCAGACCTCCTCTCCTCCCCTTGCCCGGTGGCCGGCTGGATCCCGCCACAGATCCGCCGCGCCGCCCAGATCCGCCGCCTCCTCTCTCTCGCTTGGGGCGGCCCGGCCCCTCCCTCCTTGCCCCCGCCGCCCGGATCCATGGCCGGCCGGCCCCCCCTCCCTCCTTGCCCGTGCCGCCCGGATCCGCGCGCTCCCCGGATCCGCGCGTCCTCTCCTCTCGCCGGGCGGCCGGTCTCGCCCTCCCTCCTGCCTGCGCCGCCCCGGATCCGCCCGGATCCGCTGCCTCCCTCTCCTCCCGGCGGCCGGCCCCTCCCCTCCTCTCCTCTGGACTCTCTGGGTCTCCCGACGTCGACTCATCCTCGGCTTCTCTCCAAGTCCTCAATCCATCCTCCGGCTGCCCCCTCCCCGCGGCGAAACCCTAGCCCGTTGCCTCGCCGCCGATGCACATTTAGGTATTTTACTGTGTTGTGGAAGATGCACATTTAGGTATTTTACTTTGTTGTGGAAGATCTCGAAGTAGGCTGTGATTGCTGGTTGTGCATATTCGGTTTCCATCCTTCCTGTAGGTCTGAAATAAATTTGGTCAACTGTTGCCAGCAAACCGAGATGTTAGTTTGTTATTAGTGAATAAGTACATCAGTCTGTAGGTGTTTGGTGCTGAGAGATCCCTCACTTTTTGGGTCTCCAGTTGGCAGCAATTTGGTGCTTGCTGATCAGATGTGTAGGTGGTTTAGTGGTAGCTTAAACCCTGTCCAAGACTGCTTAGAATAATATGAGTTGAGTTCTGGTAATTAGATGGTGCATTGTTCAAGGATTCTAGATCCTGTTGATCAAAGCAGTCTAATTGCAAACTAGATGATGAAGGGTGTGGAATACTGCTAGTGTTAATTTGATGATCTGTTGTTTACAAACTATAGCTTTGTCGTGTGCAATCTGATTGATGAAACAAACTAATGCACATGTGATGAGTAGTTAGTTTACAACCACCGGAGCCGATATCATGGATAACATGTTATTATTGTTACATTGTCTCATATATTGGACTGGCTTTCTACATACCCTTTTGTTATCTTTCTTCTGAGTATCAACTTTCAATGATATGGATAATGTGGTTAAGCTTGTTGTTACCTCCTTTAGCAATGCATTTATTGACATCATTTCAATATAGCACTGGATGTTTTTTTTGGGGGGGGGGATGAAGGTTTGTACTGAATAAGCAAACCTTTGCATCATTTTGCATTGATATAGCAACATGGTTACTTGTACCTTTGGTTGTGTTACATAGATGTAAATGGATGTTTCCTATGCTATTGTGTCTGTCATGGGACCCTTACAACTCTATCTCTTTCTTCTGGTAAGGTCAGCATGGTGAGGGTCAGTGTGCTCAATGATGCGCTCAAGTCCATGTACAATGCTGAGAAGAGGGGGAAAAGGCAGGTCATGATCAGGCCATCATCGAAGGTGATCATCAAGTTCTTGACAGTCATGCAGCGTCATGGTTAGTTCTCAAATCTTATGCCCCATTTCAATTGCTCCGTTCTGAGGACATGTCCCTGATTAGTGTTACATTATGTAGGCTACATTGGTGAGTTCGAATATGTGGATGACCACCGTGCTGGGAAGATTGTGGTGGAACTGAATGGAAGACTAAAGAAATGTGGTGTTATTAGCCCTCGCTTTGATGTTGGCGTAAAGGAGATCGAAGAATGGACTGCGAGGCTGCTCCCATCTCGTCAGGTTAGTCCAGTCCGTTGTATATAACACTTGTAGCATTATTTTCCTTTTACAAACCCATTTTAATCTTTTTGGCAGGTAGCATGAAGGATAAAGCAGTTTGTGATGCATAATCCCATATGCAATCGTGCTTGCAGCACAGGATATTGCCAGAGATGAAAGGTACTAAGCTGTCTCCACTGGACTGAGCTGGAACTTTTGTCTTCTTCCGTTTGTAAGTGCTTGGCTGCTCCTCCCATTGGTAGTTACCATCTGCCTTCTTTTTGCCCCTGGCATTTCCCCACGTGTCCTGATCTAGATTCAAACTCTTCCTGTCTCTTAGCATTCAAGGAGACGGTGCACAAGTGAGTACTCGCCATGATCATGAATGGGGTTTTTGGAGCCTTGCTTTGCTGGGTGAGCTTGGATTTCTGATGCTTTTTGCGGAGGTGAGTGATATGTGAAGGGTGTTAGTAGGTCCTGTGCCATGATCCTGCAGTTCCTCATACCAATTAGCAGCACTTAGACAGCTGTGCTATTAAGTTTTGGGCTTCATTTCACTCTACTTTGAGGCCCTATTTGGCACAGCTTGTGATTTTACAAAATTTAGTTTTTTGGAATTTTTTTTGTCAAAAGCAATTTCGTCTTATTCAGTTCATTCTTGGTTTCTGTTTATTGGTAAGCTGCTACAAATCCTGCCACTTGGCATAGCTTCTCCTTAGTCTGAAAAAGCTGAGGGTCAAACTGTCCCAACTGCCAAACAGGGCGATGTCTATTATCTGCTTAATCTTTATTTACCTTTCTTAATGCTTACTATTCAGATGGATTATCTGTCTAAGGTTTTTGGTTTGTCTATCTTGCTCTTAAGAGAAATATACTTTGTTTGTCATCAGGGGTATACTGGCTGCAATTGACACCTTTTCTGATCATGCAATAGTTGGGGTGAATACATCTAGAGACGTTTCTTTAATCCTTTTTCACCTCGTAGCTATAAAAACGAGCAACTGTACTTCCTTGTCTTAATAGAATTTCTCCTATTACTATGTCTTTGACAGTTTGTCGGGGGTGCATTATGGAGAAAATAAATGATGAGGAGGTTGACTGTTGCCCAGTATGCGACATTGATCTTGGCTGCGATCCTGAACAGAAACTCAGGTGAATCAGTTGTTCAAACTTTTGAGTTTCTTCTGTAAAACATAGTTTCAACTTTCTCCTTACCCTGTTCTGGCAATGCCTTCTGCGTTCAATTTTTTTGTACAAGTGCAACCATGAAGATGAAGCATTAGTATGATGTGAAGTCCTATACATCATGCTATTGCTAATGAGTAATAAAACCATGTATCTTGAAAACTTCTCTAACAAACTCGGCCAGTAATGGCGCCAAGATCAAGGGATGGTCAAAGTGCAGAGAAAGGATTACAGGGATTATCCTAATGGATAAAACCCATATGTAGTGCTATTTGCCTAGGATATCTGCAATTCAGAGTTTCAGACAAACAATCTCTGTCATAAATATAGCTTGGGTTTTTAGGTTAAACGCTTAAAGTACTTGGAGTATAAACATTCACTTTCCTTCTACACTGTCGCATATTCGCATATAGCATTTATTGAAGCAGCCTTTAGTAAGTGTCCTATTAATAGTTTGGCTATGACATGATCTATTGTTGACATATCATATCTGATTGAAAATCATTTCTTATGATTATCACTTTAGGGAGGACATAAGCTTGTAATACACCTTTATGGGTCATGTTTTTTTAATTTGACAAAAGTTGGAGAAACCAGCCTCTCCTGTGCTCACTGCCTACGTTTTGTACTGTGGTTCTTTTCTGAATACTTTTTTGCCTCAAGTACCCAGTTTTTTTATTATGTAAACAGAAGTTTGGGCCATAGTGTTGCAGCTTCTTATTTATTTCTAGTGCATCGACTGATCAACTATGAATTGATGCTACCTAACTGTGATCGTTTCCTTGTTTGAAGGCCTGACCACAACCTTGAAGATATCAGGAATAAGGTATTTCCAATTAAAAAGATAAATGTTGATGCTCCAAAGGCTGTAACAACATTGCCAGCAAGGAGAAAACAGAGGTCCCTTTCTTCCTTGGTGGTTGATACTCCAAGCGTAGTAAAGCGGACTGGTTTGACTGGAAAGAGAACCAAAGCTAAAAGGAGGGCAGCAGCTTCTCGTGCAACTTCTCCCGTTAATAATGGAACCATGAAATTACCAACTAAATCTGAAAATCGAGATCAGAAGACTGAGAAAAGCTCTGCATCACAATCTACCATTGAAAGATAAAACAACAGAGGATGATTCCTAGGTAGACTAATCTATATCTTGGACCTATATGGCTCTATGTACTATGATTATCACTTGACCTGCTATATATATATATATATATATATATATATATATATATATATATATATATATATATATATATATATATATCAAGTTGGTGTATGTATGGAAGATCTAATGCATTATTTATACAAAAATCAAGTGAATTTGTTCAATGTGATGCCTTCTATATGAGCAAAAGTGGATTTGTCAAATTATTTTAATTGTAATTATATCTATGCGGTTTTGCCGACAATTTTTTTTTAGGCAGGGTATGGTTTGTAAAATATCTTGGAAATGGTTTGGTCAACATACAAACTGTCGGGAAAGGTCTTAACTGTCGGCGTAGGTCTTAACTGTCGGCAAAGGGTTAACTGTCGGCAAAGGTTTCAACTGTCGGTGTAGGTAGACCGTTTGCCTACACATAAAGTGTCGGGGATTCTGTTAACTGTCGGCAAAAGTTTCGCCGACGGCTTCTAGCGCGACTGTTTCTAAACTGTCGGCAAAACTTTTCGCGGGAGGTTATCTGTCGGCAAAGGTGCCCTTTGCCTACAATAGAAAGTGTCGGCAAAAGTATGTTGTGTTATAGTGACAGAAAGGCCAAAGGGATCAAACTCGATGGAATAATTATTATTAGTGGTAAAACGACGGACAAAAATCAAGTTCTAAATAATGATAGGGGAGACTAGAACATTAGAAAGAAAAAGAGGTCGTCGTGGTGTGGAAAACAAGTGTGACCCAACAGGGGTAACAGGAAGCAGTGCTCCATTATCGACAATGATAGATGAAGGACCAAATGATGAGGGAGGGTGAGAGGAAGAAAGAATACTAGCGGTGTTGACCATGTGGGAACTAGCACCGGAGTCCGCATACCACTTGATCGACGGTGGTGGCGTCAATGACATGGTGCTGAAGTTGTTGGTGAGCGATGACTGGTCCCAAGACCCCCTTGCATCGGTGTCTAGGGGGTTGCTGCTGTGGGGGGTCACGGGGAGGATCAGAGCCACGGGCGGGATGCCCCCGTAGCTGAAACCTGGTGGGGTGCCGAGCCCTAACGAGCCGATGACAGGCACCAATGGCGCAGGGTAGCTATACGACGTGCACAGTAATGCCCCATAGTCCAAATGGTTTAGATCCACTCTGCACGCTGAGTGAACCACACCTATCACCATCCCACTTATGCTTTCATCCTCTCGCATAAAAGGTTTAACCCGGGGATAGTGGGATGGACTCTAGAAGCCATATATGTTGGTCTAACCCACCCTAAACAATTAAGGTGGGACTAAGCCCTCCACAATATCTCATTAATATGCACATGGGCTACTATGAGCCAAATTCCAAACTGGGCCAGATGTCACAAACACCCCCCAAAGGGCCCGACGTCCTCGTCGGCCCAACACACCCACAACCAAGCAAACAATGACCAGGAACGTTTCCTCGGCCCAACACACCCACAACCGGGCAAACGATGACCAGGAACGTTCCCTCTTAGCACACGTGATCGTGCATCCAGTGCCAGCACATGTGCCATGCCGTGCACCCCGGAGGGCCTTCACGCGCAATGAGCCCCATGTCCGCACCCGTGGCTGTGAAGGTCAGCTTCGATACCATTTGTAACGCCTTAGAGTCCAAATGGCTCAGATCCACTCTGCACGCTGAGTGAGCCACAACTACCACCATCCCACTTATGCTTTCGTCGTCGCTTTGCGTAAAAATATTAACCTAGGGACAGTGGGATGGACTCTAGAAGCCTTATATGTTGGTCTAACCCACCCTAAACAACCAAGGTGGAACTAAACCCTCCACTATATCTAATTAACATGCACATGGGCTACTATGAGCCAAATTCCAAACTAGGCCAGATGTCACATGTACGGGTATGGCTGGTGCTACGACATGGCAGTGAAGGCGGTCGGTAGCATGGAAGGAAGGTGAGGCGATGCCCCAGATGCACCACTAGGACCATACGGATGCGGCCACACCTGCATTGTGTCGGCCCAGGGGTTGGCGAATGGAGCAGGTGGAGGACGAGGGCCGCCGGGGTTGGTGTAGGGGGCGGCCCGCTGTTTGCCACCGCGGCCACCCGCGGCCACGACGACGATCGGAGAGCTGGCCCTGCCCAGGGCTCACGCTGGTGCTGCCCGAGCTACCACCACCGCCACCAGCAGGGGGCACGGGGCGGTGTTGGGCTTGGTGACGAAGGTAGGTGACGTCGGCGGAGTGGCGTCAGTGACAGCGTCGTTAATGTCGATCTCCTTGAGAAGGTGCAACGTGTAGTCCTCCTCAAATGTGGGGAAGGGGCGCTGCATCTTGAGGTTGGAGACCATGTGACGGAACTTGCTGCTGGGCCCGCGGAGGAGGGTGAGCACGAGGGTTCGGTCGCCGATTGGGTCGCCAAACTCGGTGAGGGCGCTGGCCATCGTCTCGAGGCGGCGGCAGAAGTCGGTGATAGACAACGCCCCCTTTTTGGCCATGCAAAACTTGGCGGAGAGTAGCAGTGTGCGCGACTCCCACTGGCCGAGAAACTCGGACTCGAGGAAGGTCCAGGCGACACCTGCATTAGTGTTGCGCAGCAACACCGATTGCTGGAGGATGCCGTTGATGGTGTCGTAGATCTAGGTGAGGACGGTGCAGTCCATCTGCACCCACGCCGAGCGATCGGCATTGACCACATCGGATAGGACATGATCCGTTAGGGCATACTTGCCCAAGACGACGAGGAAGAGGGTACGCCAACGGCTGTAGTTGTTGGCGGCCCGATCCAACGCCATGGGTACGAGCACCTTTGTAACATCCTAGATGTTAAAAAGCAATTAAAATCTTGACCATGATCATCATCATGCATAATCATCAAGCATTGTGTCATTTATGCATGTCATGTTTCAATTATAGCATGTATATGTTACATATATTGTGTTTAAATGTTACATGAAATGTTATCCATGATAGTGATTAAGGTTCTTTGTGAATTTTTGGAATGAGAATTTCTTAAACAAATTAAAAATTTTCCAAAATAAACTTTGAATTGTAAAGTATGTACTTTCGAATAGAATTAAAGTTGAGTGACGTTTTCAAGTGAAACATGTCCAAACTTGATCTCCAAAACTGAATTCATTGCCCTCGTCATCACCGGCAACGGCGCCCTTCTACCCGTCATCGGCTGCCTCGCCCGAGACGTCGCCACTCTATCTCGCCGGGCGATCGTCCTCTTCAAGTGCCTCGGCCACAAGGTGCTCCAGACCACCATCGACTTGTTCTCGTCCTTCAACATCCTGGTGAGCCTCCTGCTCTTCCTCACCTTCCTTGTCATGGAGGCGTGGGAGTTCGTGGTGTACGTGCTCTCCGACTGGCTCCTGGTGTCCCTGCTGTGCGAGTACGCACGTAGGCCCAGGTGGCAGTCCTCACGGTGGGTGCAGAGAGCCTTCTGCGCGTTGCTGTGGGTGAAACGAGCCGGCCGGCCGCACAAGGGCATGCGGTTCAACCAGGCGTGCATCCTCGACCTCCGCCAGCACACGCCGTGGGTGATCGCCTCCAAGCTGCTGCAGCACCGGTTCCTCGGGATGCCGTCGGTGCCCGTGCCGAAGGAGGTGAAGCACGCGGTGTTCGCCTCCCTAAGGGCAAAGGGCGGCGGTGGCGAGCCCCTTAGCAATGGGGTGGCCGTGCTGCACCGCCGTGGCTACCAGCAGCTCCTGTGGGCTTGCGACAGCAGGAGTGTCACCGAGGTCATCCTCGTCTGGCACATCGCCACCTGCCTCTTCGAGATGAAGAACTCAGCTCAGGCGGCGGCTGGGGCTGGGAGGAGCACGGAGGAGACGGTTGCCGCGACACTGTCCAAATACTGCGCCTACCTGGTGGCCTGTGCGCCGGAGCTCCTCCCGGAGGACCTGGAGGGGTCGAAGCACGTCTACAAGGCCGCGACCCGCGACCTCCATGGCGCCCTACGCAGGAAGGGGTGCAGGAGCGCATCGGGGGGCAGGCTGGAGCGGGTGATGGGCATCGACGGCCCAGACCCCGACGCGGCGGCGACCATGGGCGCTGAGCTGGGGAGGCAGCTGCTGGAGGAGTGTGGCTTCGGAGGTGCCAATGTGGCGCGCGGGTGGCAGCTGCTAGCGCAGCTGTGGACCGAGCTGGTCGTGTACATCGCGCCCTCCCGGAACATAGAGGGCCACGCGGAGGCGTTGGCGCAGGGTGGCGAGTTCATCACGCTGCTATGGGCTCTGGCCACCCACACCGGCATCAACCGCTAGTTCAGTTCGGTTCATTTGGTTCGCCTAGTCCGGCCAGAAGAGGTGTTCGAGCTTCCATATCAACGACGACATGATTCCATTTCTTCCGTAGACATTGTGTCTTGCAGTCTTGCTTCTGTATTGTGTGCGCCTGTTTATTTGAGGAGTTATAAATGTGAGTCAATGGCCTGGTGACTGGTATCATGACGTTCTTTGAATTTTTTTATATAGAGCATAGAGTCTCAAATTGTTCTCTCCGCTACTACCGCGCGGTATCGAATAACATAAGGAATCGTGTAAGGTGCAAACCTTGACTTCTTGTAGGAGTTAAGCTGTGCTTTGAATAGATTTTGTTATGGACTACTCTCTCAGTCCTTTATTATCTGTCGTTTTCGTTTTTCATGCCATAAGTTTAACTAGATTTATAAGAAATACGTGTAATATTTATATCTTTAAATAAATTTATTAAAAAACTAAATTAAAATATCTATTTAACGATATCAATTATGTACCATAAATATTAATATTTTTAATATAAATTTAATTAAAGTCATTTATCTAGAAGCGAGAACGATAGATATTTAGAGATGGAGGGAATAGTATCAAAATTTTGTTTTGGGAGCTGCCAACAACCGGTTTTTGGGACTTCCGATCCGCATCAGATGGTCTCAGGCTGGCGGGGCGCGGGGCCGGCGGAGCACGCTTTCCCTCCCTCTCAGTCAAACCATCCGTGGGCCCCACGAGCGCATGCAACTCCTCCTATCCACTTCCTTTTGTTCGCTAGAGCACGGGCCCTACCTCTCTCTCACAAGGTCAACGGAGGGAGCAGCATGCAGGCGGTCTCAGCCTTCTATCTGTAAATTTGTAAGTTTGTGAACAATTTGATGATATTTGTGGATAATTTAATATATATTTTTTCTGGTATCTGAAATTCATAAAAAAATTTGTAATTTTTTTAAAAATTTGGCAAATATTTGTGTTATTCTCAAATTACATCACTCTGTGTAATAAATTACGGTGAAAAGAATCATTGTAATTATAGGAATAAGACGGTGTAAATATAGCTATAATAAAGTGTAAGCGCATGTGTTGGTGTTTTGGACCGGCGGGCCCTCAGCTGACTAGTAAAAGTGTACTACGTGTCCCTAATCCCGGATGGTGATGCAAAGATACACAAGGTTTATACTAGTTCGGGCAATAGATGCCCTACGTCCAGTCTGAGAGAGCGATCTTATATTCCTTGCACCGAGGTGCTTGTAGTAGGGGCTTACAAGCTGGGCGAGAGAGAGAGCTAGCCCCAGGTCTATGTGAATTGCAGTGTGGGTTGCTTGAGATGTTGATCTTCTGTAGTGAAGGAGTGTGTGTGTTACAGAGTGTTGTGCGTCACTTGCACGGGTGTCTCCTGCCTAGAAGCGGCCCTGGTCACTCCCTTTTATAGTCGAAGGGAGGCACAGGGGCGGTACATGTATTTGCTACGTGGCGTTCTTCGGCAGGGGCGGCATGTCCGAGCCCTGCAGCTTGTCACTGTGGCGGCGTGGTCGGTGGAGCGGTCTTGTCCTCTATGCACTGGAGCGACGCGCCGGTCACGCCCGATCCTGTGCAACGTGGGAGCTCCTATGGTGGTAGGCGCGCCTTCTTCTGTTGGAGGCGTGCTGGTCACTGTATGTTTGACCGGCGCGGAGTGCCGAGGCCGGGTTAATGCGATGGCGTAGGTACACTGATTCTGAGGCTACAGGAGCTAGGCCCTATGCACGACGTGGGAGCTCCTGCAGCCTGACGCAGGGCATGGCCCGTACTACGGGCGACGTGTCGGTCCCAGAGCGCTGACAACGTAGAGTGCCCAGGCCTAGTCGATGCAGAGGCTGGACCGTCGTGGGGGGCTCGGCTGGCGCGAGTCCCGAGGCTACAGGAGCCCGGAAATGGGTAGCCGAGGCTCGGAGGGAGCAGTTGGCCTTGCACGTTGTTTCCGAAGCTACAGGGACCTGGACGTGACTTTCCATGCCTGAGCAGGGGTTTGGTAGCACAGCGTGGCACGGGTGTCTGTCGTGGGCACAGTGCCAAGCACAGCGGCCGGTAACCCCCACCCCGTCCTGTCTCGAATGGCATGGGGTCGATATGACTCCCGTCTCGTCGGCCACTCCGCCGTACCGTGCCGACATGCGGCTGACGTCGTGGGTGTGGTTGAACGTGTTAGTTGGATGTGACGTCTCGTCAGAGAAGTCGGTCAAGGCGGCGGTGACGGGGTTGATGCCGAGCCGGCCTCGAGCGAGTCGGTAACTGGGTGCTCGTCCAAGGCCTTGCGGGGTGGGGCCTCGGGCGAGTCGGAGAATCGGTACCTCGTCCGAGGCCTCGCGGTATGGTTCTGGGCCGAGCCCGCTTCGGGCGAGCCCGGATATTTGTTCGAGGTGGGTCGGGCGGTCCAGCCGGGCCGCGGATGAGGTGGCGGGTTTGCCTACGGTTGTATTTTGGTTTCGTTATTTACAAGGTCTAAGCAATTTTTTCGGTTCTTGCTTAAGGTACCCCTTTTTATGGTATCCGACAGTAGCCCCCGAGCCTCGGGGGGAGTGCGAGCACTCTCCCTGTGGTTTTGATGAGACTTGGCTCGCAGCAGCTCCCGTCGGGATTGTGTTTTGCGCTCGAGGCTTCGGTGGGTGCGCACGAGCGCATCCACCGGGTGTAGCCCCTGAGGCCCTGGAGGAGTAGATTTACTCCTCTAGGGGCTTTTTCCCTGTTGAGTGGGGGGGGGTTTGTCACGTTTGCCGAGCCCCCGAGTGCGAGTTCGGGTCGCTGGGCCTCGGCTTGGTCGTAGGAAGAGCCCCCGAGCCTCTGCTCGGAGCAAGAGGGCGGTCAGGAGTTTCTCTATCTTTTTTGTGCGGCCCTCGCGCATTCTTTTTGCTCGGAAGGAGGGGTGGAGTATGCCAGGCTACCCTCGGCGGGCGAGCAGTGACACCTCTGGTGAGTTGTTATCGGGTAAGTCCTAGTGGAGGCCCGTGCCCCATTTGATAGGGATCGGCTAGCGGTCTAGAGACGCGCTCCAAAAGTACCAGAGGGCTTCTCTAGTGGGTCCTAGGGCCGTTCTATTGGCCCTAGGGGCTCGATGCCTCTCTACGGTGGGATCCCATTCAGAGACCTCCCTGCCGGTCTCGGACACGACTTAGGGCATCCCAAGCAACTGCTTGCTTGGGCCTCGGACATGTACGGGCTCGCCCTTAGTCATCCCTGACTCTGTTTGTCCTGGGGCGGCTGTCGAGACCCTCGGGGGCCCAGCCTTCGAACCCCTAGACCGTAACGGACTCGGTGCTCAGTTCCTTAGTCTGAAAGGAATCGGGTGGGGAATATTCCCTTCCCATCGGCTGACGACAGCGGGTGCGCCTTTTGAGGCGGTTTCTCGGGGAGACGGAACGGCGCCTGCCGTCACTCCTAGTCCCTTAGTCTGCGGACGGGACGTTACTGTACGTGCGCGGTTAGCGAGAAAAAGTAGGGCGCATGGGCGGTTTGGTCGGATCCGCATCAACTGCGCTAGATCTGGGAAATAATCTTCCTGGTTTCGTCGCCCGCCCGTTCGCCTTCTTTCCTCCCTCATAAATATGTGACGAGCCATGCCCCTGCCCCTCCTTACCTTTTTTGCCTGCACTCGCGCTTTCTGCCCTCGAGCGGTTGCCAAGAACAGCGGAAGAGAGCGCCGGGGAGAAGAAGGGAGAAGGGGGAGGAGAGGAGAGAGAGAAAGAGAGAAAGCAAGAGCATACATTACCGCCGTAGTCGCATTCTCCACCACTCCCATGGCCGGCGGCGCCGTTGTCCTCTAGGTGGATCCTTGGGGTCCGTCTGACGTGTCCGCGGTGACGCTACAGTCGCTCGTCGACGACGGTCTCCTCCGCCCGGTCACCGACCCCAACAGGCCGGAGTGGATCGCTCCGGGGAATGAGCCAGAGCCGAGGGCACGCGATGGCTACATCATGAGCTTCGTGGCCTTCCACGAGCGCGGCCTTGGCTTGCCGGCGAACCGGTTCATGCGGGCGCTCCCGCATTACTACGGCGTGGAGCTCCACAACTTCAACCCCAACTCCATCGCGTAGGCGGCCGTCTTCGTCACCGTCTGTGAGGGGTACCTAGGCATCGCCCCCACTGGGAGCTGTGGCTCCACTTCTTTTGGGCAGGGCTCACCACCAAGCCGACTAGCACGATGGGTACGCGGAAGGCGTTGAGGGTCGGCGGCTGCACTCTCCAAGTGCGCCAAGACTGGCAGCCCTCCTACATCCCGGCCCAGCTCGCGTCGTCCAACCGCCGCTGGTACAACAACTGGTTCTATCTCCGCAATGAAGACGACGGGCTTCCCCCCTATGCCGGGCGGGTCATGGAGAGCCAGCCGGAGAGGTGGAGGTTTGGCGTCCCGTTAGCTGATCAGCCCAAGCTGCAGCCGCTCCTGAGGGCCCTGGAGAGGCTGCGTAGCCACGGCCTTACGGCGGCCGTGGTCGTGGCAGCCTTCCACAGCCGGAGGGTGCTGCCGCTGATGGCTCGGCGGCAGCGCCTGTTCGAGATGACACCGGGTGAGCCGATCGACGGCATCCGGTTGTCCACCGTCGCCCTCTCCGACAAGGAGATTCTGTGTCGGGTGAGAGAGACGGTGGAGGGGTGGCAGAGGAGCAGTGATATGACCCCGTTCTCCATGCGCCCGTCGTGGGGGTACATCTCTCTGGTAAGTTGCATGTTGCTGCGGCCTTCGAGGCCTTCTTGCTCCTTACATTTTTAGTTCGTTCCCTTATTGCGTTTGTCGTTCCTGCAGGGGATGAGGGATGTGCGAGCCTCCCCGCTGCCCGTTCCCGAGGACGCCAAGCGGCGAGCTGAGAACAGGGCACACGCTGAGGTGTACAAGGAGCGGAAGGACGCTGAGGAGGCAAGGCGCAAGAGGAAGAGCCTCGAGCGCGACGAGCTAGAGAAACATCACCGGCAGCAGAGGCGCGACGGTCTCCCGGAGGAGCCGTCTCCGTCATCATCGTCGATGGACCTTTCGAGCGACGATG